GAGAGAGAGAGAGAGAGAGAGAGAGAGAGAGAGAGAGAGAGAGAGAGAGAGAGAGAGAGAGAGCATGGCATGGCATGGGACACTTCAAAGCCACCATCCTAACCTGGAAGTAACGCCTGCTGGGCATTTTATGTCTTAAACCACCACTACCTCCGAGCCTGTTTTTGCCGACCCTGATTTTCACTGCGCACCGAGTTTAGCCGAGCCTGGGTTCCGTTTTGTTTCTTTTCTGGTACTCTCCTGAGAGAAAAAAAAAAAAGCACGGCCAGACTTTGAAGAAACGACCCACTCAAAGAAACATAAAAGAAAAAAAGCACAACCCTTTGGACGTGGTACCTGGGGTAGATACCTACCCTGAAGTCATGGTGTGAGTATGCCCTCAGTAAGGGTGTTACGGCAAGGGTGTCAGGTCCACGAAGGAAGGAAGAGGGGAAAAAAACTGAAACTCAACTTATAGCGGGAAATCAGGTTCATACATTCTGCAAAGTAATAGTGTGGGCTTGCCCTCCTCCACAACTGTCAGCAGCCCATGGACTGCTCCGTGTCTCCCTGGTGGGGCTGGCGGGGCACCAAAACAAAACAAAAAGAACGAAAACAAAGAACACAAACAATGACAACCTGAAACTGGCCTCTATAGCGGTTTGATACGAACATGTAAGTTTTGGTCTGAGTACAACTCGGTGCATGGCCTTCCCCGGCATGATCTTTTTTTTTTCTTTTTATTGTGCGAAGGGGCCCTCAAGGCCCAACTGCCGAGCCTCGCCCAACCCCCGAAAAGTTCGAAAGAAGTGGGAAAACAGCCAATTTTCTCATTTTTCCCAAGAGTGACAGAGGTAGTGGTGGATTAACAATCCCTGGGCGTTATGTTCACTAAAATGGTAGAAAATCATGGGATAAATATTTTGTGTAGGATTGCAAGTCAACTAACTTTTGGCTGAGGATCGCTTCAGAATTCTGAACTAATTTGAAGATAAGTATATAGAATAGAACAATCTATCACATACCTTTAAATGTCACGTAAACCCACCTTCCTCTCCTGTACAAGGCATTTAACCCCTGCTTGAACCCGATGTATACCCCATGGTTCTCATAACCATGGGCGGGGAAAAACCAAGACGTGAGGAAGAAGAAACGAGAGTACACCATGGGTTGGGCGACTTGTCATTTTTTTGGCAACTTACATGCAAAGGGGGGCAGCCAATTTGTCGAAAAGGGTAATCAGTGCTGTTCTCCACAGTACACCCAAGGGCAATGTCTTGCGCCTCAACGGACGCTGGGCTGGGTTGCTAGTGAGGTGCAGCTCCCCACCAATGAACTTGAGTCATTAACATGGGGAGCCAACAAGTTGGGGTGCTCCTATCTCCTCCGATTGCTGGACCTATACTGATGTGTCCGAGAAAGAAAGAAAAGAGATTCTACCAATGCCACATTCAAATATAACGCCCGAGTGTTGTATAGGTGCGGCTCCCCAACCAATGGACTGGAGCCATCAACATGGGGGGACCCACTATTTGCCGGTGCTCCTATCACCTCCAATGGTTGGACTGGCACTGATGTTTTTGAAAGAAAAAAGGAAGAGGCATTCTACCTCTGCCACATTCAAATCGACTTAAACGCCTGGTGTTTTTTTGAAAGGGTGTTATATCCATGCAAGGAACCAATCAATGAGAACACAAATATTCCGAGCAGCTAAAGTCTCAAAGCAGAACCAGCATATGTGAGCAAAGTCGAAAGCAGAAGTACAAGGCCAAAAGCACACAGTAATGAGAGCACACTGATGAACGCTTAGACATTCTTACGCTGTCAGCGGAACAATTGAGTATGCCCTTGAGCCGTGATGAGAACACACTGATGAAAAGAGCTTACTGTTGTTTGGGGTCTGGAAACAAGAAGTATTGGGAAGTCCTTTGGCTTCCACCGCAGATGCAGTTGGTTAGGTGTTCGACCTGCCTGAATGGATCACATTATTTTTTGGCCCAGCTACTTGTGGCAGTTGAAATCCCCATCTAGCTGATCGGTGGAAATGAAGTGCCACAAGAGCTGCTACACTTGTGGGTTCATCTGTTAAGCCTGTCCGTTATTCCGGTGATTCCTTGATGTCATCTTGAGTTCAGAACTTCAGAACCTAGCTTTGCAGCCAGATTCTGCCACTGTTCACTTGTGAACCTGACGTCTTTGTTCTGAACAATGCTTTTCGGTAATCGACAGTCTTTAATCCAATGATTATCTATTCTGTCTTGGCGGTTACTGGTAGAGGTATAAATTGTGCAAATTGAAAATCTGTCAATAATAAACGAAATCATTCTCTTTTCTGCTGGTCACCAGCGTGCCCAGGGATTGACTCTCCCTCAAGTATGGGAAGTGGCATAATTAAGCCATGAGGGGCCTGAGTACAAGGTTTTTTCCTTTGACAAACCTGGCAGCTTTCAACATAGATTTGGGCATCACTCTTTATTCCAGGTCACCACATGCACGAGAAGAAATTACTTCTGTATCATGGCATTCCCCTAAAAATAGGCTCCTCAGGGCTCCACTGTGGGGTAGACTGAGTGTCTGTATGTCGTCCTTCTTAGAAAACAGCGATCTCTCTATCATCCTATAGTCTTCACTCACCTTTCTATCATGTGTTCAGATGTCTGATGATTTCACTAAGGAGGACTCTTCCACTTGCTGAAGTACATGTCATGTTCAGATCAAACTCAGTGACAACCACTCCTGGAAAGTCTGCTCTGCATGACAGTGCATCGGCAACCACATTATTCTTCCCTTTGACATACTACAACGTGAAGTCAAACATATCAAAAGGAATGATAACAAACGATTCAGGGGATCAGACGGTGTGGGCTGAGTTTCAATGCACTGGAGAGTCTCATGGGCAGACCTTACTTCAAAATGTCTGCCATGGAGATAGTGTGTTACATGCTGCGCCTGCAACAGGCTACACGGGCCATTTTCAGGTCCGTGTCAGTTTCAGCCTGAAAGCCTGAAAACAAGGGCCTACAGGCCCTGTGTCAGTTTCAGCCTGAAAGCCTGAAAACAAGGGCCTACAGGCCCCGTGTCAGTTTCAGCCTGAAAGCCTGAAAACCAGGGCCTACAGGCCCCGTGTCTGTTTCAGCCTGACAGCCTGAAAACCAGGGCCTACAGGCCCTGTGTCTGTTTCAGCCTGACAGCCTGAAAACCAGGGTCTACAGGCCCCGTGTCTGTTTCAGCCTGACAGCCTGAAAACCAGGGCCTACAGGCCCCGTGTCGTTTCAGCCTGACAGCCTGAAAACAAGGGCCTATAGGCCCTCAGGCTTTAGCCAGAAGCTACCTGGCAACTTCCCGGAAGCTTCCTCAGGCTTTAGCCAGAATCTACCTGGAAACTTCCCGGAAGCTTCCTCAGGGTCTACCACGTTTGGGCATTGGCAAGAGCAGCCTCCTGGACGGGCCAGCACTATATAAGACTGGTCCGCCCTACAGGCAGGGAGGTAGTTCATAGGCACTTCCCAGGCACTTCACATGCAGTTTAGGAGGCAGGAGGCAGTCAGTAGTCTTCAGGAATCGGCAGCAGCACTCTGGAGGAGCGCTGCAGGAGTAGCTGTAGCGTTAGCAGTAGTCTTCAGCGCTGGGCGCTAGTAGCGTTAGTGGTGGTCTTCAGTGCTGGACGTCATAGCTAGAGTAGTACTAGAGAGAGAGATTGGGCGGAGGTCAGGGGTACTTACCTGCAGCGCCGTTGCTCCAGCTTCGTCTTCGAGGTACCTGCAGCACAGCGCCATCTTCACAGGTTAGTACCTGACACACATGAGACAGAGAGTTCTTCTTCTTCCTCTTCTCAGTCCACCATCTCCTTCTCACCCTCTCGCTATCTGACTTCACTGCATCAGCAGACTATGAGAGAGAGAGAGAGAGCTTGGTGACATTTCGATCCAGACTCGACATTGGACTTCAGACATTTTGAAGAGGGGTTATTTGGGACTTGTAACGAGACTTGGTGTTGACGACTTTCCATCTCCCCCTTCCTCTCCTTCGTCTGATCCCCTCCTCTTCGTCTGTGTATGTCTGGACCTGGCGCGCTTTTCCTGTGTATAGCGCCAGGCTCCTTCGCACCTCGTGATGAGCATGATATATGTTTAGTCTGCGTTGAGACATTGATTGGGCTAGTCATAGTATTCTAGCATTCTGCTTCGCTATCTTGTACTACGTGAAAGGGGTTCAGTCCCGGTCAGGTCAGGATTTGTATCTAAGTCTTCCCTGCGCTATAAAGCACCATTTTGTATGTATCAGAATGCACATTGCTTGTTGAGATTCTACTTGCACTGCATCGTCCATTCAGTTCTTTTCTTCACATTGCGGATCCTCGGTTTATATGTACATCGCCCAACTGGGCATGTACCATAGTGCTTCCAATGTTATAAGGCGATATGGTGCACAGGATGATTTATTGGAGCACTGCTCAATTGCTGGAAGGGCTTTTCACACACGTGAACCCAGTCCTGGGGGGTATCAACTTGTGAGAGATTAGTCAGAGGGGGCAAGCTATAGTGCTGCTCTCTAGAAACAGTTTGTAATAGCCTGCCATCCTCAATGACATTCCGCAGTTGTGGGCAGTCCCTAATGGCTGCCCCTTTTGCATCTCTGGCTTCAGCTCATCTTTAGAGATCTCATGGCCTGAG